CAAAAGTTTTCAACATGCTAAGTGCCGATTTTTATGAAGATTTATTTCGTAGAATTAATTTTATACCGTTGAAAGATTTTTCTGAATCATATATTTACATCCAAACGTGTATTCTTTTATTGAGAAATAATAACACTAGTTACCTTAAAACAGACTAGAACAATATATCTCACCTTCTAAGCTCAATTCAATTTAGCTTGAATTTAGAGTACAACGTGCTACATGCATATACATCAATAATCTTTTCGCTTACTTCACTCATTTATAAGTCACATGATGAGTCATTACTTACTAATTAATTAATCCCTATAAAAAAATGCCATTTAGCAATTAAAATTTTTGGTCGCCAAATATGTTAATAAAAAAATATGACAGTCACAATATACTTGGTTATTATGAAAAATCATTAAGATTAACCTAGTGGGAAATATTTAAAATTCTATCAAAGAAATCATATAGATTTCAATTTCAGTGCAACCATTGTAGACGTGAAAGAAGCCTACGTAATTAAATAGTTTAACGGGCCTAAGTATGTTATTAAACAAACATAAACCCAAACAGTAGTAAAAGCAGGTGAAACAAAAGCCCAAATTCACGGCCCAAATAAGAACAGCGATGAAAGGAATCTTGGGCTATACTGTACTTAAGCAACATGGTCTTTTTACACCTGCTTTTGATAATTACACCTGCTTTAATTAATTAATATATATGCTCCTTTTTTTCTTCTTCTTAAATACCCTTGTATTTTGTTTCCAATCTCATGTAACTTTTCAGAAACCACTTCACAAGCTCTCCTTGCTCCAGCACTCAGTCTCTTCATTCTAGCACCCACCCCCTTCCACCATATATAGTGGTTGAAGACCTCTAATATTTATATGTGCACTAAAAATGTCAATTTTAACTTGATGTTAACAATGTATAAAAAAAAAAAAATAGGTGTTTATAAATTAAAAAAAAAAAACTTCTAATATATGTGATTTTTACCTAACAGAACTGTTTGTTTGGGATCTATAATTTAATTCACAATAAACTTATGTCATGTCCAAGTTTATTTATTAAATAACTTCAAACATATTTCTAAAACTTATTTAGTTAAAAAATGTTAAACATTAAGTTAATAAAAAAAAGCCTTTTAAATTTAAAGGTTTTCCTATTTATTTATTTTTTAATTATTATTATTATTATTATTATTTCTTATATATATACACATTTTTTGATCAGTAAATGTTATCTTACCAAAGAAAATATAAATAATATAAAAAAATATTATTATTGTATAGGCTTGTAAAATAATATTAAGGGACTTATTTTTACAGGTTAGACTCAAATTTTAAATTTAGAAAATAGTTGGTTTAGAATCTATATATGTATAGAACATAACCTTACATAACTCTTATGAATATTTAAAAGAAACTTCTGTAATACGCAATAGAATTACACTACAAGAAAAATAAAGTTATGGACATTTTTTTAATCTCTTAATACTTAGTTATTTCATTACAAGAGAATTACACATGAAAACCTTTTTGTATTTGAGTATTGTGATGCCATTCATGAAATATACTTATAGAAGTGAAATATTTTTATGAAACAACTTGTTTATGAAACAATTTGTTAAATATAGAGGTGGATTTACGGGTCAAGATCTATGAACTAATCTATTAATCCATTCCACAGTTTATACAAATATGTATCCATCTTTTTTTAATTTTTATGGTCATAATAACAAAGTTTTGACTCAACCTATAAAGTTCATGAACTTTGTAGGCTTAAAATTTTGACTTAACCTATAAAGTTTATGAACTTTGTAGGCTTAATCTACAAAATTTGCAGACTAACCTATTTAATTTTTGTATTTGTTTTTAAGATATTAATATTTTAATATTTGATTAATATATTTAAACATTAAATATTTTAAGACACAGACTTTAATATTTTTATTAGAATGTACAAATATTGATATATTAAAATCTTAATTTTTTTATTTAAGATGTTTGATGTTGTTATAAATGTTTTATGTTTCTTATTTTTTAATGTATTTCTTTCTCTCTCTTTTTTTTTCCTCATGTTTCCATAACTTAAAAAAGAAAGAAAACATTTTTTTTCCTTGAAAGTGACAATTTTTTTTTATTATTATTATGTCTTAGACCATGAATCAGTCTGTTTATCCGAAAGTTTCAAAAGACAAATGCGGGACAAAAAATTTTTGGACCATTTTATTGAGCAAACATACTTCATCCAACCCACTTTTAATTAAGTGTACTTGGATAGAAAATTTTGTCACTCATAACAATGATATCTAACTCGAATATGATTGCATCTAGTAAAATATATGGAAATTATAAAATTATTACGATGATATATTCTTTCATAATTAATTTGCTGGAATATAATACTAATATAATTGGGGTATGATTTTCTCTCTTTTCTTTTATTATTTTTAGTTGCACTGAATTCCCCTTCTGCATGTCTTTCCATCGGTGTCTTTTAAAAAATGGTTACTTCTATAGAAAATGTTGTTTGAATAAATATGGATTGGAAACTACAAAAGACCAATATTGCTTCTGGAAAGATTCCTATTTATAAAGTGTAGGTGTATGGCACAAAATTGTTGAATTTGACTCGAGGAGGGTTTGGTGAGGCGATTCGATTCATTTATGGCATAAACGAGAAATAACGTAAAAAATATTAGAGGCAAATAAATTAAGTTGACACATCACACATCACCATAAAGTCGGAAAATTATTTTCAAACTAAGAGCATTTGCAATGGAGTTGCTTATAAGCAACCTCCTATGTCACATTACTGCCAAATCAGTTCTAACCCACTTTATGGATTGCTTAAATTTTAGCAGAGTTGCTTCTACAAGCAATTCTGCTAAAATTTAAGCAACCTATAAAGTAGACCAGAACTAATTTGACAGTGATGTGGCATAGGGGATTGCTTATAAGCAACCCCATCAGAAATCTTCTAACATCCTATAACATCCTATATGTAAGGAGTTAAATTCTCAGTGAAGCTAAATTTTTGACAAAAGAACATAGTTCCACGGTGCAAGGCACCTTCATCTTTATTTTCAAACAATAATAAATAAATAAAATCGTGTCTGATAGCTTGTAAATTTAAATGCTCTAAAGCATTTTTTAAAATACTTGTTTATAGTATTGATCTACTTCTATATATTCAATTTGATTTTGTAGAAAGTGGGATTATTTTGATCCGTTACCTTTCTATTTATTTTATTTATATAAAAATTACAATATCAATAATAAAGTTTAAATTTAAGAGTTTATATATATTATCATAACTTTTTTTACCGCTATGTTGAATCTTGTAATTCTTTTACATGTTCAAATTTTATGTGTTCTTAAATACATTTTTGAATTCTATAAATATGTGAAATCTAAGTTCTGTCTAAAATTTAATTTTTGATTTTTTTTCTTTTTCTAATAAAAGTAAATTCTTATTTTGTTTATAATTTTTTTAATCAAAAAAATCATTAAATTTAAAGGACTTTCAACTCATATAAGCGAGTCAAATGTGGCGTGTAAGTATTTATTATATATATAACACAGGTAGGTTCAGAAAGTGTTCACCTTTGAAAAATAATTAGGGAGAAACAAATTTTAAACTTTATACATATTAAACCCAAATTTTGGTATAAATGCTAAAATATTTTTATTTTTTATTTTTATCATATCCATGTTTGTGTTTTATAAATTAAGGTCAAATCCTATCCATAATAGGCTATTAAAATAAATTAGATAAAAAGAATATCTCAAACATTGATATACATTTATAAATAGAGAAATTTTATGGTACCCATCTTATTTGAGAGGGTACCGGTACAGTTTTTTATATTTTATATTTTTAGTAATTTATTTAAATAATATTTATAATATTTTATCCTTTCAATTTTTAAATTATTTAGTCATTTTATTTTTATTTTATATATTCTAATTTATTTGTAATAATATTATTATATATTTAAATAGTTTAATTTTAATAATTTTTTAAGTATATTTTTATCTTTTCACTTAAAATTTTTGAATTTCTATATTTTAATTTTAATAACTTTTTAAGTATATTTTTTGTCTTTTTGTCTTAAATTTTTGAATTTCTATATTATAATTTTAATAACTTTTTATTTCTACTATTTATTAATTTTTTTCTTTTTCTTTAATATTTTATAATATTATTGAAAACTTATAATTTTAATCTCTATAATTTTATCTTATTTTTTATTTTATAAGTATAATTTAGATTATTCATTTTATAATTAAATTAATTTTTTTAAATTTTTTTATAAGTTTACATAGAAAAATGTATTGAAACTCCTCCATCTTTAAGGGTACCGTAGCAACTCTCTTATAAATATATATGATTTAATAATTTAATATAGTTTTATTAGAATACACTCATCACTTGCATGGGATGATTTGAACCTAAAAGTTAGGGTAAAATTGTTATACCTTGATACATGTGATAACATTATTTTTAAATATCTATTCACCTTATTACATTGGTAACTTTTAAGATTGTGAGTTTTGTTTTTTGTTTTTTGTAAAATACAATGGCACTTTTAAAACGAATGAGAAAATAACAAATAATTAAATCACATCAACTTAGTTTCAGATCACGGATGAGGAAAAGGTGAAGGGAAAGAAAAAGATGCATGTATAAAGAGAGAGGTAAATGGTTAAAGAAAGGGAGCCTCACAGAAAAGGAAATTTGACTTTTATAGTAGATAAGATTTGAAAAAGTAAAACAAATTAAGCAAGTCAAACTTTTATTAGAACTAACCAGCAAAATGAAAATCTATCCCACGTATTTCTAAATAAAAGAAATATTTCAATTTAAAAAATACATTGTTTATTACTCCTCGACGTCCTCGTTACGAGACTCATTCTCATCAAAACTATTATAATATACAAAATATCCAACAAATCTGTGCATACATTATTCTATTGTACAAGAATTATTTGACCAATTATTAATTCTACGACATTTTATTTACAAAGTTTTGATTAAAGAGAATATATATATATATATATAATAGTACAGTCATCACCATCTCCTTTCCCTATCCCCTTTTTAAAGAGCCCCATCGAATACAACAAAGCATGGTACCATGGACAATTCAACATCTATTATTTGAAAGAAGAAAAAAATATATATCTTTCTTGATGGCATTTTGTTTGTACAATTGGACTCTTCAATTATTCTCCTTTCTCATTACATTATAACCACACCAGAAAAAAACATATCAGCAAGAGAGGATAGATGATGAAAAGTGACGGATCCGAATGCCAAGGACAAATTTACCAAGTCATGAAGAATTAACGTTAAAACTAATTAATGAACAAGATTCAACAGCAGGAATTAATCAATGAACTAAAGTAATTAACTAGCAAATGAGTTCAGCATCAGAAGAAGTCAAGCTGAGAAGTTGTTCCAAGTATTCAGAACCCAAATCCTCCAACACAAGCACACTTTGTGAAACCATGTTCTCTAACCCTTTTCCATGGTCCCTTTTGGTCTTTTTGTTACAAGTTTTGGACTTTCTTCTCATGGTGTGTTTCCTCTTGAGTGCCAACACTGGAGAGGAACCATCTTCCCATGATGTCTTGTTGTTCATGTCTTTGAGTGATTCCCTCACCACTTCTTCAGGGAAATTCAGCACTGCCATGGAACCTCTCGTGGACAAAGCTGCTTGGTCATAAGCTAGTGCTGCTGCCTCAGCTGTGTCAAATGTTCCTATCCACACCCTAACCCCATTTCTTGTGGAGTCTCTTATTTCCGCAGCAAACTTCCCCCATGGCCTTCTCCTCACTCCTCTGAAGGGTCTTTTCTCTTTGTTACTTTCCTTTGGTGGTTGTGTTGTTTCCTTGATCAGTACTTGATCAGCATGATGACTTAAGTTGGAGGACACTTCTTGTGACTCAGTGCTGACCAAAGAGCCTGAAGAGTTGGAATCTGAGGATGATTCCTTGATTTGTGATTGTGAGTTGCTGAAGGGATTAAGGGTGGTGTTTTCTTCATCGAAGAGAAGAAAGTCTTCCCAAGGGAATGGTTCTGAAGAAGAAACACAGGAATTTAGAAAGGAGTTATTAGTGTTGAGGTTTTGGTACTGGAAGAAAGATGAATAATCAAAATCCATCTCTTGGTGGATCTTAATGCAGACACCAATTAAGTTCAGATATGTTTTCTCTCTTCTTCTTATGTGCCTATGGTATGCTTTGAACAAAATACTTGGGGACTTGCCTCCTTTATATATACTCATTGAAAAGAAGGAAACATGATAACCAAAGATCCATAAATAAATTATAATAAAGGTGGAGATGGAATTATTGGTCAAGGAGGATGTCTTTGGATATCTATTTTTAATGTTATTGAATTGTACTATTAAAGGGCGGACCTATACGCTATAGCCTAAAAAGAAGTTATTTTACTTTTAGTACTTTTTTAAATTTTAATATTTTTATTAATTTATTTTGATGATATCTTTAAATACATTTATTAGTAAAATCTTAATTTTTTTCTTTCACAAAATAATTTTATCTATGATATAAGAGATCTCATTGATTAAATATATGTAACAAAATAAATAACATCTTAATTTGAAAATATATAATACACCAAAATTAATTGTTAATGCAAATTGTTTTTTAATCAAGAAACCAGATTCGATTTTTAATATTTAACATGATATGGAACTAATTTTTTTTTTAATCATGTAATGGGTGGATTGGACAAGAGGAAGTTATATATCTTTGTTATATAAAATGATCCAACACTTATTATTAACATATTAAAAGAATGAAAACAGTAAGAATGTATTATTGATATAGGCACGTGCGTCAAAGAAATAATAAAAAAAAACGTGGGCAACTAGAAAGGGCAAAGGATTGGACCAATAAGTTGGCGAGTACTCAAATGATGGAGGCAACGAGAGTGCAAAATTAATTAAAATTCATTCATAAGAAACGAAGGATCACAGTGGTGACCAAGACCCTGTGTTTGTGTCACTATCACTCACTCTCACAAGCTTTCTCTTTCTCTTGCTTTGTCGTGACTGGTGAGTGAGGATTGGCCAGTGATTTTGGATTAATTGCATCCACTTGACACAGCACTATGTTACACCCAAACCCCATGTCATCATATGCCAAGTAAGTGGCCTATGAATTTGCTAGCTTTTGACGTGGAGTTTCATTTTAGATTAAATACCATCTCCTCCCATCCATAGTATATATATTCAGTATATGAAATTAAATAATTAATTAATAAGGGTGTTGTTGACTAATGCTATAAGAGTAATACACAGTAGGGTGATAAAAATCAAATCAATAAAAACAAAATTGGAAACAGATTAAAAAAATCGAAAATTGATGAAGAAAAAAATTAACATTTTTTTCAGTTTTATTGTTTTTCTAAAATGCACAATTCGATTCGGTTAATTTATAACTTAAATTTAAAAATGTAAAATCGATCCAAACTAAATTGATTCTATGATTATATATAAGTATTCTTTTTTTCTTTCTTCTAAATTTAGTGATTATTTTACTTTAAATTTGTCAAATGTTTTGATCATTTTATGTATGTTGTAGTTATGTTCGAAGTTATGTTTATTAATGTATAGTTATGTTTACTTATGTTGTAAGTCATTCATTTTTTAAATTTGGTGCATGCATAACAGAGATTAAGGTTTACTAATAATGATCATATCAACAAAAAAATTAAACTATGCTCTAACAGTGGAAGTGTCACATTGAATTGATAAATATTTTGTTTTTCTTAATACTTAATAGCTGATTTTTAAAACATCAAAAACTTAACTAAACTAAACTACATCGCAAAAAATTAATTTGGTTCGAATTTTATAATATATTTAAATCAAATCACATTATCCTTAAAAAAAATTTAGTTCGAATGACTTTAAAGTCAGAAAGTGAACCAAATTACATCATAGGTACTCCTATGATTCTAAGGAGGAATAAAAAGTGAAAAAAAAAATATTTTTTTATTGAGAAGTTGTATTAGAAATCATGAAAAGTGTATCTTATACTTCTGAATATTTTTTAAATCCACTATTATTTTTTAACCAGTGTCATAATTTTCATGAAATAAAAATGTAGAACATAATATTACTACTTTAACTAAAATCAACAATACTTAAATTTCCATCCAATCAATATAAAATTTAGTGTTTAATTAAATGATAAATTTCAACAAGGACCAGCTAGCTAAGATAATAATAACTTATATTTATAAAATTATTTTTGGAAATTATATATTTTTTAATCTTTTTATAAGCTCCAAATAAAAAATGTTGCGTGATTCTTTTATAAAAACCAATTTAATATTAATGTCTCTTATATTGATTATTTCTTTACCAGAAATATTAATTAAATTCATTTAAAGTTTATCAAATTTTTATAAAAAAAGTTAGCCTTTATATTTCATGAAAGATATTCATTAGTAATGAAAAAAATTAATAAATTAAGTAATTAGAACTTATAAAAAGGATCATAAGAAGTATTTGAAAAAATAAATATAAATGTAGATAATTTTAGAAGAAGCCTACATTAAAAGTGTCATAATTAATTTAGCGAGTTACCTAATACTCCATTATGATATTCATATGACTTCATCAGTCCATGAGAATATAGTTGAGTTGAGTGCACTCTAGTGTCTGCATCATATTTAATTCCATTCCAAGAACCTGCCTATGTCTTATCTAAATTAGTGAATACCATGCCCTAAACTGTTGAGTCCTTATAACACATGCTACGTGTCACATCAGCCGCCGGCGTGCGCTTCAAGGGCATATGTTCTACTTTATCTTTCTTTTGATAAGCTATATATACATATATGTACAAGTTCATTAACCCTGTGTATTCTGTCAACCGTTCTTGAATTTCATTTCTTAAAAATACAAAATAAAAAAATAATCAGATATTCACTGAAATTAAAGATTTATGACTATATAAACTTCTACAAGTTTCTTTATTATCATCCATGGTCAATGTAACATTTTATAACCAATAAATAAAAATTAATCTGCATTTTCATGACATGACATGATTTTTACTATTTTAATATTAATATTATAAAAATAAATTATAAGAATATATGATTAATCTATCATATTCTATGACAGATCGGATGAATAAGCATAACTATTACATGTTGCTCAGAAGAAAAGAAAAAATCTCCGAATCTTACTACTAACAATGGTTGATTCTTCTCGAAGACAAAAAAAGTAATGGGAAAATCGACCCTTTTGTTTTGAATCGTTATAATTTAAATAAAAGATGAAAAAGATTGATGATGGATATACCGTTTTAACGATTTAAATTATAAATATGAAGAGATGAATGCAGACGATGAATGATTGAAAGTTTTTATTGTTGGGCATATGTATGGTGATGCAAGTTGTGATAAAGCATCTGCCACTTGCTTGATATCATTAAATGTTTGGAATTGTTTATTGTTTATTAACGGAAGAAGATACATGCATCTGTGCATCTATGATCTCTACAACTTGCGTTGTCATCAACGAACACATTTGACATTTCTTTTCTCTGACAAAGACCGATGCTTTGTCATTTAACATTGCTTCTCCTCAGACAAGGATCAGCTGGTCCACCAGATCGTCTCGACTCAATTTCAAAGTTCAAAGTCAAGAGGAATAACATATAGAAGCCTTTGTTGAACATATATATCATCTATTTCCTCCCACTCCCTTTAATTATTTTATTTCTCAAGGAAGAAGGAGAAAGCACCATCATCAGAATGAGCTGCGAAATACATAAGTTGATCGTGATCATCGTATACTTTCTGTCTCATATATTTTTATCTTCTTCTTACTATTGGAAGTAAAACTTATATAGGTCTTATATTAAATAAATTAATGAGTCTTAAAGATATATTGTCCAGTAAATGTGATAGAATATAATATAATAGTGTATATAACTAAAAATATTTTTTTAGCTTATAAATTATTTTATAAAATTAAATTAGATTTCAAAATTCATGTTTAAATATGATATTAAAATTTATTCTAATGACTATTAATTATTATTAAAAGTAATATTTATTTGCATGTATTTAATTTTATAAACTTCATGTTTAACAAATTCAATTTCTTAATATAAGAGATGTATATTAAAGATTCTATATTGCAACATTCCGATTTTCATAAAAAATTATACTAATAATATGTAGTATTTATTTTAATGTGTTAATATATTTATTAGAAAATTTTTTAATATTATTTAGCTATTTGATATGAATTTTATTTTATATATATATATATAAAATATGTTATTTTTATAAAAAGATAGAAGTATATTTTATATTATTTATCTATTTTATGTGAATTCTATTTTAATATAAAGCATGGTTTTTAATTAATATTTTATTATTTGATATGGGACAGGTTTTTATGAATTGTATTTTATTAAAGGCTAAGCATATGTTATTTTTTAATTAAAAAAGAGAAAATGTATTATGATTGTTTTTAATGTATTTATTTTAGAGTTTTGAATATTATTTAATTTATTATATAAATTATATTTTATGCACGAGACATGATTTTATGATTATTATTTTGATTAGTATTATGAAGGTAGTTTTGTGAAATGTATTTTATTTTATGATTATGTTATTTGATTAAAAGAGAAGAGTTGTATTTTAATTATATTAGGTTATTATTTATGTGATAAGAAGAGAAGGAAGGACATGGAGGTCTTTTGATATATTTATTATTATTATTTATTTTATTAATTGAGAAAAAGGGGGTTAAGGGAGGTTATCAGAAGTTATTGAGTCATTTCACGTATTCACTTCTTCATGACTCATATTTTTTACGCTCTGAAGACCAAGGAGAACTAAGAGAAGGAGATCAACCAAATTCTACCCGTGCTTTATCTTCTGCTCATCAAGGTAAGGGGAGTGAAAAACCTCACTCGGAGGTGTGGAAATAATGGTTGGGTAGTTGGATTGGCCCCCAATCCCTTGCCTGGTGTATGAGTATAGAAATATACACTTTATAAAAGTTCTCTATTTTGCTTTCTAATTATTCTATTGTGTTCCTTGATGTTTGCTAAGTGTGAATATATGTTTAATTTTGAAAACAAAAAAGTTTTAAGCCATGTTTGAAGGTGCTAATGGTGTGAGAACTGTCTTATTATTGTATTAATGCAAGAGATGTGTTTCTATGAGCATGATGAGGATGAGAATCTCTTATATGTG